CACCGCCCAATAACGTGAGCCTCCCTCTTCGTAGCCCTGGCAGTGTGGAACCCGCTGAAAGCGCGTTGTGAGGATGAGCAGAGACCTGCCAGCAGCTAAATTTCGCGCTTCAGCACAATCAGCCCTGGCAGAGCATGTGCAGTTTCTCCTCCTTCGGTAGTGGGGGCTGATGGGCAGATGCTGCCCACATGCTCATTCATCAGAAGAGGCTTTCGCTCCCGGACTCCCCTGGGCCTCGAGCAGAAAGCGTCTCTGCCACGGAGATACAGAGCGCGGAGCCTTCAGGGTCCTCCGCCGCTCTCAGCAAGCCCTGCTCTCGATGGAGAGGCCATCTCTGGTGATGGATGTGGGCTCCCAGGGAAGGTGCTCACGCCGGTCCCGCGCCCTCGGGGAAGAGATCCGAGAGCAGAGCGTCAGCGCAGGGCACGCCAGGCCCGGGGGCCGCGGGAGCAGGCGCCGCGCGTCTCTGCACCACCGCGCCGCCTCCCAGCCCTCTTTCCCCAGTTCGCCCTCCTGCCGCAGTCCGGGCCCAGATTAATTCTCTGCACTTGTCAGTGGGCACACACAAGTTCTCCGGGCACGATCCTTCCATCCGTTTCCCCGGAGGGAGTCCACCTTTTTAACGATTAACCTCCCAGCCACCGCGGGCAAGGTGGCAGGATGCGAGTGGGGCGGGGAGGGGCGCTTCGCACATTCAGAGGCACCAGAATTAGCTGCCGGTGCTCAAATGGCTTGCTTTCTTCGGTTTTTGACAAACCTGGGTGGGATGCTTTCTTGGCCGCCTGCCGCCCGGCCTGAGCCCCGGGCTCACTTCGCAGCCTGACGCCGAGTTTGAAACCGCAGTCCTGCTCTGCTGACACCCGGGCTTCTCGCCCCCTTGCCGAAGTCTGCGGCCCGAGGGATGCTGGGCGCGGGCTTTTCCTGCTCGCTTTAACGCGGCTTGGGCTAAAGCCCCAGAGCTCCCACCTTCGCAGCTCCTGTTCCTCGGCCCGCCCCTCTACCTCCGCCAAAGGACGTGCCCCTTCAGTAGTGTCGGGGATCCCAGCTCCAGCGCGGGGGAGGGCGCCTCCCTATCCCCTCCTCCCCGTCCCCGCCTCGGCTCGGGGTTTTACTGCAGCAGCCGGAGGTGACAGCGACGCCTCAGCTGCCTCTGTTGCTCTCGCAGCCCCGGCTTCCCCTGCATTGGGAAAGCGCCCCCTCCCGAGAGGCTGGTCCCAAGAGAAGTGCGAACAAGCTGCAGAAAACCAAATTTTTAAACGTAGAAGTCGTTGAGCTGCATTCCTCCGAGGACCAGTCTGATCGCCCAGGACTGAGAGTGGCAGCGTCTGAGAAGTTGGGACCATAGAGCAAGGGGGGAGGGGAGCGCTGCAGTGGGCATTCTCTTTTGGAAGGAGTCGCTGGGAGCAGCGCGGTTGGACACAAGTTTGCGTAGGAGTGTTTTCCTTTTGTCAATAATTAATCAAGGGAATCAGCCTGGTAGAATTGGAGTTTTAGCAATAGTCCAGAGGGCGGGGCCGAACACCTAACTCGGGGAGGCTCCCAGGCGCCCGGCGCAGTGGGAAGCTCGCAGCAGCTGGGGAGGAGCCAAAGCCTCGGCGCTCACCTAAGCAGCAGGGAGATACACCCAACCTGGAGGTAAGCATCTTCCAAAATACCTACTTGAACTGTAAAGTAGCTTTAGTAGGATAGTATTCCTTTCTCTATAGGGGAAAAAATTAATAGTGAGCTTTAATGCAATTTATCAGTTTACTATTTAACTGCATTACAATTTTCAAAATTGGTGGGTTTTTCCATTTACCTTTCATTATGTGGGAAACTAAGATGTTTCACTCAACAGAAGCCAGACTTTAACACTGAAACTTTCCAAACCAAAAGTAGAGAAAATTACTTTGCTATTTTCACTATTTATCTTTGTGTAGTCCATTAAGTATTCACGGAAATATCATTGGGAGGTGCTTGGTTTCCTTCTTATTCATCTTTACCTAGTTCCGTGCTCTTATACAACCCCTCTCTGCCCGTAAGTTATTTAAATTGCTGTACTTTAGGCAATAGTATACACAAGTCAACGGCCAAAAAGTGAAGAACTTCTAACAAGGAATATATTTTAACATTCTCTTATACATATTAAGCAGTATGTATTTTCTCAAAGATACTTATGTGATCCTTTATAAGTAACCAAACTTCTTCACCAAAAGACAGCTAGCTAGAGTTAGCTAAATAGTTAACTTGGCCGTAAGGATAGGAAAAGTGGGGAAAATGTATAGAGAGGCATTTTAAATATGAGTGGGACTCCAGATTTGTTTCAACTAAAGTGATATTCAACTGGTTGGCAATTCACATATGAACCCAGTACATGATCAGATAAGGAGCTTGAAGAATTGTTAAATGTAAGAGACCCCAAAGTCCAAATAACTGTATCAGGGGAGTTGGGAAAGTTGTTTTACTAGAAGACTTTGTCGTGCAGTACTTATTTTGAATTAGACAAAAATTAAGAAAAGCATGGTCATTTTTGCTAGTGAAATTTTAAAATGTATACATAAAGGTATTGAATTTTAAGAACTTGATTTCCACATCTGAATTATTCCTATGCTGATTAAAACAGGTGTCATTTTGGTGACTATTTCAATGTCTGTGATGGCTTTGTACATAGATAACTAGACCAAAACTAACAAGCTGTAGTATGAAATGCACTGTCATCCTCATTATCCAGATATTTCTTTACAACTATTTAATGACAATAAATTAAAAATTATTTGTCAAACCAAAGCATGGTCATTCTAGAATTTGACTAGATTTGAAATTGAAAGTCAACCAGTCTTCAACTCTCATTGATTTTAATTCACTGTTTGTAAATTTGCAACTACTTTTATAAAAACTGCCCTTTATAATTGTACAGCAATTTTATATCTACTATGCTAATTATGAAGTACAGTTTTACCACTATTTTACCAGCAAGTATAAAAGTAACAAAATATTTATTTAAAAAGATCCAAATGGGACTCACTTCCAGAATGGTGATATAAAGAGCTTTTCAAATCCATTCCTTAAAAACAACAATAACTGGTGAAAAATATAGATAAATAACCATTTAAAGTTCCTGGAAATTGTCCTGAGAACATACAGCATGAGGAAAATATTTATTCAAGACAATCTCTTATATTTCAGTAAGAACTGCAAACAATTGTGGCATTTGAACCACAACATATTTCCCTGCAACCTCCAGTTGAGTGTGAAGGTGTTTCACTATGGATAGGTGGAGCCAGTAACACAGGGCCCCCTCTCAACCTAGATCATACTCTGTAGTATACCCTGAGAGAAGCAGGCTGTCACATTACTCATGATCCCCAGCTTTGTGTTGCAGAGCTCTGTTCTAGATGACAGCAACTGAGAGGTCTGAGGCTCTCTTCCTCCAACCATCCTCCACTCTTAAGGCAGAAAATAAAGAACTCAACAACAAAAAGACAAGCCATTTTCAAATGGGCAAAAAATGAATAGACATTTCTCCAAAGAGCATGTACAAACAGCCAATTTACACATGAGAAATTTTTTGCTAACCATTAGTGGTTAGGGAAATGAAAATCAAATCAAAACCACAGTACAATAGCACTTCACACCAACCAGAATGGCTATCACAAAAAAAGAAAGAAAGAAAAGTCCTAAAAAAAGAAAGAAAAGTCCCATAGAGAATTCGCTTGCAATGCCATATCGTTTTGGACTCATCCACTTTTGGCTAAGATCAAGTGTAAAATTGTACCTTGTTCTTTTCTCTGTTTTATGTTTCTTCAGAGCCCTTAACTTCATTATGAAATTTACTTATTAATATTGTCTGACATCTCAGGAACTTTTGTCTGTTTTTTTACTTATCCAGGGCATAGAAGTGGCCTGGTACAGGATAGGTGTGCAATAATTCATTTATCTGTTGAATAAATGAGTTATTAATCCTGATGAAAGCAATATTAAAAAAGTAACTATGATAGAGTTTTTTCCTACATGTATTGATTTTATAAATAACTGGCTGGGCTGGGCATGGTGGCTCACACCTGTAATCCCAGCACTTTGGAAGGCCGAGGTGGGTGGATCACCTGAGGTCAGGAGTTCGAGACCAGCCTGGCCAACATAGTGAAACCCCGTCTCTACTAAAATACAAAAAATATTGAGCCAGGCGTGGTAGTGGACACCTGTAATCCCAGCTACTCGGGAGGCTGAGGCAGGAGAATTGCTTGAACCCGGGAGGTGGAGGTTACAGTGAGCTGAGATCATGCCATTGCATTTCAGCCTGGGCAAAAAGAGTGAAACTCTGTCTCAAAATAAATGAATAAATAAAAATGAAATAAATGGCTGGGCATTAAAAATTATTTTATATAAATCTTGTAATTAGACAAAATATTACAGTAGGACCTCTGCAAAAGCTTTGATGGTCAAAACTCACATGGATCCCATTTCTATCATCATGATATGCTCCTCAAAAACATATACATGGAAGAATAAGCCTGTGCTGATGAGAATGGAAAATCCTTGAGGTTTCCTGAAGCAGGTAGCCTTGAATCCCTAAAGCTAAGGACATGATTTGTTTCAGTGTACTCATAACTGTCTGGCAGTAAGGCCAGGGGTCCTTGCCACCCCCATGACACAGTGAGGCTCACTAGTTTTATATTTCCATTTCTGGATGAAGCATTATCATTTGATTTCATCTTAGTACAGGATCAGGCAGCTTGTGGGAACTCAAAACATAAAAGATGAATAGAGGAACATATTAATTATTTGGGAGTGTCTCCTGCATTTGAGGTTGTCATAATCATAGCAGATGCTTTCTGACAATGACAGGTTAGTATGCTATGAAGACTTCAGTGGCTGCTCCAGCTTCTCCTCCTCCCAAGACTCTCAGGCTTTTAGGGCCAATCTAGTGTAGGCAAAACTGGGCTAATTTGAGTAGAAGGCAAGTAAACTTTTGGCTGAGATCCAGGTACCTTCCTCTCTCACCTATGTGGGCCTGAACAAACTCAACCACTGGTCTGAGCACTGATAATGAACTAGAGAGGAACAAGTGGCCTCATAGGTTCTGAATGTCAGACAATATTAATAAGTAAATTTCATAATGAAGTTAAGGGCTCTGAAGAAACATAAAACAGAGAAAAGAACAAGGTACAATTTTACACTTGATCTTAGCCAAAAGGCCGAGAAGCGATAAGGTACAATTTTAAATAGTGGGATCGGTCTAGGAAGTAAGATCTTGCAAGTAGAAAAATGTAAAATCACATACAAACCTGGCCACTGGCCAACTCACCAAAAAGATTACCAGCTCCCAGTTAACTTCTCTCTTCCCCTGGGAAGCTTTGGTTTCCCTGTGGCATTTGCTTCAACCACCAACATTATTTTGCTGCCTATATTTGCTGCTGTTTCATTAGGGAAAATAATATAATAGCACAAGGGCATTCATTCCAATTGAGCATAAAGAAGACATAACCCAACACCTGCTCTTGAGAATTACAACCTATGTAAAATACTGCATTATAATAACAAAAACTCTTGCTCAGGAAAATCATTAGCCTAGGTTTTCAGTTTACTTTTGGCCTCTCCCTCTAGCTTTGTCCTGGATTCTTGTAGTCTTCCAGAAAATTGTGTGGCAAATAATTAAGAACTGGTTCCCCAAAGTTAATACCGTTTGAAGAGTGAAAGCGCTGGGGAGAAGTGAGGTAAGAGAAATTTCCAGGCCATGATGCCCAGGTAAAGGAAGAACAAGTTTTTCAGAAGTCTGGAAAGTGAGCAGAGCATCAAATCCACAGACCAACTGAAAAAACAAAAAAACAAACAAAAAAAAAAACACAGGGAAAAAGCAACCAGTCTGCACTTTACCAGATTGTCCTAGAATCCCTACTCAGGGAACTTGGTTTAAAAGAGACCTGGGGAGCTCTCTTTCTGGTAAAATATAATGGGTACAGGAGCTTTCTTGGACGAGAGCTTTTAGTAATGGCTTAAAAGAGAGCAGAAGCTGGGCGCGGTGGCTCACGCCTGTACTCCCAACACTTTGGGAAGCCGAGGCGAGTGGATAACGAGGTCAAGACATCGAGATCATCCTAGCCAACATGGTGAAACCCCGTCTCTACTAAAAATGCAAAAATTAGCCGGGCATGGTGGTGCGCACCTGTAATACCAGCTGTTGGTGAGGCTGAAGCAGGAGAATCGCTTGAACCCGGGAGGCTGAGGTTACCGTGAGCTGAGATGGCGACTGGCGACAAAGCGAGACTCTGTCTCAAAAAAAAAAAAAAAAGAGCAGAGACTTGAATTCGTAAGTCAAAAGGATACATTCATTTATGTCAAGCTTAGAGGAGAAGTGTTTAAGAATATTCAGAATAAATATAAAGTTAGAAATAACTCAAAGGACCCCTGTCACAATGGAATTATTATGGAGCATTAGAATTCTCATTTATTTATTCAACAAATTTTGATTGAGCAGCTACTATGTGGCAGGCATCTGGGTAACAAGACAGAAGAGGACCTTATTCCAAAGCCCTTTCCTTCTGAGGATACATTATATGTCTTCTCCTACAAAATGGCTGAAGAACACGGGCAACTAAGACAACAACTTTCTGACCTGCCGACCTGACACCTCCAGACTGGATTAGAGTCTCCTATGCCCCTGAGTACCTTACACTTCCCTATCATAGCATAAACCATACTGTGTGTGGATGCTTGCTTAATTGTTCCTTCTCTTCTCTAGAAAGCATCCTGAGGATAGTGACCATGTCTATCTTACTGACAGTTTATATCCCATCCCTCCTACATCCTTGATACTAGATTGAGTGGCCAGCTGGCTGGAAGGAGGGATAAACGATTTGCCAGGTTATGATCAGAACTCCATATATAGAGAGGCAGCCTGAGAGACTGGTTAAGACTGTGTGCTCTGCATTCACCATGAGACTTCGGGCCAGTTTAAAAATTTCCCAGTACCCCAATTTCCTCATTTTTAAAACAGGTATAGAAATAATGCATCTATTATATTGTTGTTAAGTAAGCTGCATAAAGTAATTCATATAAAGTGCTTATCAAACTTCTGAAACATAAGTTGCTCAATAAATAAAAAAATATATTACCAGTATACAATGGCAGCTTCCAGGTGACAATTTGCCATTTAAATATTGCATCCCTGCTCTTTCAGCTCCATTATAAGATCAAAGGATGACAATTAGTAATTCCAAGCTAAAGTTATCACTTTGAGTTCAAGATCTACAAAAATATTAAAAAGAGAATTTGGGAATAAATGTAAGTAACGTATTGAACAAGAAAGTTAAAAAAGATTCAAAAAAAGAAAGAAGGTAAAAAAGCTCAATATGTCATGTTCAAAGCAGCTTTTCTGGGGCAATAATACCATACTTACATTCCCCATCAATAGCCAAAAATACCAACCAGTTCATGTTTATGTTCTAGAACATTGTTTTTGTGCCACATAAAATGTCATGCCCCATAAGAATCAACGAATGTTCACTGATGGAGTAGAAAATAAATAAAACAAAACAAATATATATATATATGGAAGTATCTCATATATATATATGTATATACATATATATACATCCATATATATATGGATGTATCTTACTTGAAGTTTAGTCTTATCTAAACCTAAGGATATTATATTATCTTTTTGTTTCTTTTGAAAATCTAATTCTTTTCTTCTGTGTATGACCTTTAATCAAAATTAGCATAGTGCCTCCTCATATGGAGTAATCTATTACCACGTAAATGAGATGGAAAGCTAACCTGTGACCAACATATGGAAACAAAGTAAATTTGCTGCTTTCTTCTACTTCTATCAGAGAGAATATGCTTGGCTTTTCCCCTACCAAAGGGATCCTCATAGAAAATTTTAAATGTCACAAAAACATTTTTGTTTTAATTACTCAGAATGGAACCTTTGGTGACTGTGGGATCTCTGAATTGGGAGCCATCACACATGAAGAAAAGCATGTCAATATCCAGGTGATGCTTGGCGCACAGACCCAAGCCCACTGGAAATAGAAGCTGTTCTGATCAACCATTCCGGCAGAACTTTCCCTTAGTCTCAAAATATTTTTATCATTATTACTAGGCTATGACTGCTGTATATCTGTTTAGATAGAGAAATGAAAAAAAAAAAAAAAGGTAGTTTAAGTTCAGTACATTTAAACCTGGCACAGGATCTACACAAACATATGCACATATTTTTTACTACCTTGGCTGATAATCAGCAACCTAATGAACAACTGAAGTGCTTAACACTAGGAGAGTAATAGCACTGAATTCAAGATTTTATGGTTTTTTTTTTCAGGTACCATCTATACATCCTCTATCATCTTCCCATAGAATGCACAGGGGTTGAAGTTTTTGTACAGTGCCTAGGACAATGCTAAGCTTATAGTAGTGACCAGTAAATGTTTGTGGTATGAATGGTATAAATCTTGAGATACCTTGGAATTTAATGCAATCGTTAGAAAGATGATTAGAAAACTATGTGAAGATATTTAAAAATACCTTTGAGCAAAATTAATTGAAAAAATCAGGATACAGAATGAAATACATAATTTGATTACAACCAAGTGTGACAGAAAAATATGCATAGAAAAAAATTCTAAAATGTTAACAATATACAAAGTTTTATAAAAATGGTAAAATTATGGGTGTCTATATTTTTCATACAATATTTTATAATTGTATTGTGATATTTCAGGGGATATTTTATATCTATAAGAGCAGGTACAGCTTTAACAGTGGTAAAACTATTAGTAAACAAAGAAATTATTTGTGCTTAAAAATCAAAGTCTATTAGCATAGCAGCAATATTTCTCTGACAGAGTTGTCAACAAATTCTTCTAACTTAACTACTATCTTTATCTGATCTACCCTCATTAATATTGAACTTAATATACAAAAATCAGTATTTGTTACTTAAATAGCCAAGAAAATCTGATTAACTGTACTATTTCTAGAGACTTTTTTAAATGTATTATACTATTGATGGAGAAGCATTATTTGTCATATAACATAGAATCATATCTCTCTAGTGAAGTTAAGAGTTAAAGAAATGTTTTTCCTAAAAAGTTTACATTTGATCTTCTCTAAAATCTTTTAAGTGAAACATAGTGGAACCAACATAATGGAAATAAAATTTAGAAATAAATAAGTAATCTTCTAATCTAGTATTTAGCAACTGTAAACTCTTAAGAACATAATTGACACCTTATTTTAAAATTATGAAATAAATTAATTTGGCTACTTTTGAATTTAGAAACGATATACATACATATTAGTGCATATATATATATATATATTTATAGATAATACAAAGAAATATACATATGTGCATATTGCTATTACTATCATATTGCACAGAGCTGCAACAGAAAAATTCAACAACTTCTTATAAATGTTGCCTAAACTCTACATTTATAACGTAACTACTACTCACTAAATTAGATAATGTGGAAAGTGCTTACTCAATTTTCATGGGTTTTATGAATAATACATGTTAAATAGTCCCAATTCCTCTTATAATCCTTTAAATAAGTATTTCACAGTCTGGTCATGCAGCTTTTTAATCTAATTATTTGTCATCATAAACAAGGCAACTGTTTAAGCAATAACAAGCTTTACCTTGATCATTCCCACTCTCACAGTTATCAGTTTTGACTACAGATTCTAATTTCTTTTTTATAGAATAAAAAAATCAATTCTAATATCTGGGGGGTGGGAAGAATCTAGAACAGTTAATGCTGTGGAGTATAAATTTGATTTTTAGAAGAAAAAGCAAAAAGTAGTTAAGAAACAAAGTGGACAGCTTAAAAATGTGATGTGAACTCCTTACCAAAGGACTGTCATAGAGGAGGTGGGTATCAGTACATTTGTCCCTTAGTTCAATGCATTTGAAGCGAAAGATTCTTATTTAATATTTGGCAGTATGCTTGAGAGAACAGGATCTCGTGTGTTTGATCTTTTTCTAAGAATAGTAAACTGCTTCTCTTTTATTAACTCACCCATTGAGTAATTTTTAAGTAAAATTGATTTAAGTTCACTTTATTGACAGAAAAAAAATAGGCATAGAAACATACATAACTGAGCCCAATAGTTCTACAGATACCATGTCTACTCTGTGATAAAGAGCTCAGGCCTTAAAATTTTAATAGGTTGTTTTATTGCCTAAAACTTTGAACAA